TTCATAGCTTTACTGGCAGGTGATGGAATGTTGATTTTTGTTTGATGTAGTTGATGATGGGTTATGTGTACGGGTGTACGAGGTGTACCGGTCTACCTGTTCTGTAAGTTTCATTTGGTGTGTACATATACCTTTTGTTGATTTAAAAGGTTGTTTTTAGTAACTGCGTATGACGATTTGTTTTGTGATATTAATAACTTCGAGTTCTGTAGGGATTGATTTGTAAAATGGATGATGATGGTAGTAGTGATGATGATGATGATGACGATGACGATGATGATTATAATAATGATTGCGACAATAATAACAGTGATAACAGTAATAATAGTAATGATAATAATAGTAATAATAATAACAATAATAATAATATTAATGATGGTGATCATCACGATCATCATCATGGCGGCAACGATATGATGGTAATGGTTCATGGGTATTTGTTGCAACTGTTGCTGTAGTCGTTGTCGTTTCTGTTACTACTACAGTTGCTGTTGTTGCTGTCGTTGTTGTTGTTGTTTTTATTGTTGTCGTTGTTGCTGTCGTAGTTGTCATTGTCGTAGCATTAGTAGTCGCTATGGTTGTCGTGGTCGTCGTCGACGTAAAACGGCGTCACTGTTGCCGACGTCGTCGTTCACCAAAAAATTTTTGTGCTATTTATGGACATTAAAATGTAATAAAGTTGTGCATCGTTGTCGTCGAAAATAATATTTGAAATGTAAGACAGTGCATGTATGTGTGTTTTAGTTGTCAAAATTTTGGTGCCTGAAAAGAGGGGGGAAAATGAATAGGTATAGAGATTGAGTTGCGTGAAAAGTGGCGAATTTGGAGAGAAATGCGTGAAATTTTCTCGATAAAGCTGTAAATTTAATTTTGCTTTTTTTTCTCTCTCTCTCTTTTTCTTGTTTTCTCTAACCTTCGAAACCAGAGCTATTTTCTGGAAAAAGAACTTTTAAGTAGATTCAGCAGTCTGTTATCTTCTGCGTTTCAAATAATAAATAAATATATATATATAAAGGTATATATATATAACTATATATATATTTATATAATGTATTTATATGTATAAAATATATTGAAGAGTAATTGTTAGAAGCTGATCATGCTTATGTCCGTGATAATGCAAGTTTCTAAA